GGCCATCGAACTCCAGGCAAGAAGTGACGAGGGCTAGATGAGAAGGGGCGCTTTTGAGGTCATCTCTTTGTTGAGTCCAGCTGATGTTAGCTTGCCCTTGGACATTCAGCAAGGGTGTCCAGGGCATTTCTCTCTCTTCCCCACCCCCAGAGCCATGACAATTATGAGCACATGGTATCAAGAACATTCGCTTATTCTGGTGAATCTGAGACTAGACCCCAAGTCCTTGGCTGCCTCTTCTGCCCCGTGTTCCTTTCCCCAAGCACAGGTAGCTGAACAGCAATTGAGACAGATGGATGGCTCCAGCCTCTTTGGCTTCTGTTTGAGTCTGAGTGATCCCGAGTTGGGCGGTGTTTGCCTAGAAAGAGGTGGTTTCCATAAATGCTTCACAGAGGAGAAAAGTACCATTGCCAGGATGCTCCTTCAACTGACAGAACTCATGTGACCAATAAGATGGAGGACTAGGCATTTCCTCTGATCCTCACTACCTCTCTAACTTCTCTAAAATATTAATTATATGCCACAGGTAAAGCAGTTTCAGCTTTCTCCACAGTTTAGTACATCAAGAACCCAAACAACGCAAAAACTAAATGAATTAGCAATGGAGAAGGTTAATAATCCCTAACCCCTGAAGAGAAATAATTGGCAAAAAAAAAATAATGATAAAACATGAGACCATGACAGATCTCACCGAAGAAACAATAGAGGATAGCTGACTGAGGATGTAAATACATGGAAGGGAAGGACAATCTGGAAGAAGAAAAAAAGCAAGAAGCAGTAACATTAACAGAAAGTATAATCTTTGTGGAGCAAAACGTATTGTTATCAAGCCCAAGAAATTTAAGGATTACAAGTCACCCAGAAGAACACATTAAGTGAAAACAAAAAACTTGAATACTCAATGCAAGAAATAATACAAGATAATTGCTTAGGATGTTTGATCACAGAAAACAAAGTCCTAATTGAAAAAATCCATCGATAATCTCTAGAAAAAACACAAAAACAAAAATACTTATATTTGCAAACTCCAAGACATATAGTGGTTCCATTGAGAAAGAACAAATTCTATTAGTGATAAGGAGAAAGACCCTCAAATATGAAGGAAAGGAAATTTGAATAAAACAAGACTATTATGGACCCACCAGAAAACACAGGAAGAAATAGAATAATGTGTTCCAAAGCTCAAGATGTAGCCCAGCGTGACAGACGTTACAAATCTGAGTCTAGCTACAAATGAAAAAAAAATATGGACAGTCAGTTAAAAAAAAAAAGAGGCATTCAGACCATTCCTAGAAAGAAAATTAGACCTGAAGAAATTATTTAGCTGATACTATAAGCAAACTGGGAGAGCAAGGGATAGTTCACCTATCAGATTTATGGAGAACAGAAGAATTCATGACCAAACAGAAGACAGAGAACATTGTGAAATGCAAAATGGATAATTTTGATTACATTAAATTGGAAAGTTTTTGCACAAACAAAGCCAATGCAACTAAGATTAGAAGGAGGGTAGAAAATTGGGAAAGAATTTTTACAACCAGTGTCTCTGACAAAAGCCTCATTTCTAAACTATATAGAGAATTAAGTCAAATTCATAAGAATACAAATCATTCCCCAATTGATAAATGGTCAAAGGATGTGAACAGTCAGTTCTCAGATGAAGAAATTAAAGCCATCTATAGTCATATGAAAAAATGCTCTAAATCACTATGGATTAGAGAAATGCAAGTCAAAACAACTCTGAGGTGCCACATCATGCCTATCAGATTGGCCAACATGACAAAACAGGAAAATGACAAATGTTGGAGAAGATGTGGGAAAATTGGAACACTAATGCATTGTTGGTGGAGTTGTGAAATGATCCAACCATTTTGGAGAGCAATTTGGAACTATGCCCAAAGGGCTATAAAACTGTGCATACTCTTTGACCCAGCAATAGCACTTCTAGGGCTGTATCCCAAAGAGATCATACAAATGGGAAAAGGACCCACATGTACAAAAATATTTATAGCAGCTCTTTTAGTGGTGGCCAAGAATTGAAAATTGAGGGGATGCCCATCAATTGGGGAATGGCTGAGCAAGTTGTGGTATATGAATGTAATGGAATACTATTGTGCTATAAGAAATGATGAGCAGGGGGCAGGTAGGTGGCACAGTGGATAGAGCTCCAGCCCTGGAGTCAGGAGGACCTGAGTTCAAATCTGGTCTCAGACACATAACACTCACTAGCTGTGTGACTCTGGGCAAGTCAGTGAACCCCAACTGCTTCACCAAAAAGAAAAAAAAAAAGAAATGATGAGCAGTCAGACTTCAGAAAAACCTGGAAAGACTTGTATGAACTGATGCTGAGTGAAGCGAGCAGAACCAGGAGAACGCTGTACACAGTAACAGCCACGTTGTGTGATGACTAACATTGATAGACTTATCCCTTCTCAGCAATGTAAGGATCTAAGACATCTCCAAGGGTCTCATGATAGAAATGATATCCACAACCAAAGAAAGAACTATGGAGTTTGAATGCAGATTGAGGCATACTATTTGCTATTTTTTTCTTCTGTTTTGTTTTGTTTTCTCTTTCTTGTGGTTCTTCCTATTGATTCTAATTCTTCCTTACAAAAGACTACTGTGAAAATATGTTTAATAGGGATGTATATGTATAGCCTATATCAGATTGCATGCCATCTTAGGGAGGGAGGTGGGGAGGGAGGGGGAGAAAAATTTAAAACTCAAAAGCTTATGGAGGTGATTGCTGATAAATCAAAATAAATTAATAAAAAAATTCCTTGCAGAAAAAAGGCTTTAAAAAAAAAAGAAAGGGGGCAGCTAGGTGGCACAGTGGATAGAGCTCCGGACTTGGAGTCAGGAGGACCTGAGTTCAAATTTGACTTCAGACATATAACACTCACTAGCTATGTGACCCTGGGCAAGTCCCTTAACCTCATTGCCCCATTAAAAATACAAAAAAAAAATTTCAAAAAAAAAGAAATTATTTACTTCTGAAACACTCCACACAATAGAAATGTAAGAACCGTGAACAAATATAGCAGAAAACAACAACAAAATAACATCGGGGAGACCATTAAGAGATTTCTTTCTCGATGAGGAGACAAAAAGGAAAGCAGGGCTCAAACTGAAGTGATACAGGGAGAAATGGGGTTAAAATATGATGGACTAAAGGCCATGGCACCATGCCTAAGAGCGGACCAATGGTTCTGTGGGACTAAATTACAGAATGGGAGGGTGAATAAAAGGGTAAAGGGAGGATGAACATAGAGGGAAATGTGTGCCTCCATCAAGTCAATGGCTAACGGCAGTGTAGTCTCCTGGGAAGAAGAGAGCTCACAGGAGAATGAGAGAAAAGGGGAGAAAAAGGGAGGAAATCTTGCTTAAGTTATGGCCTAGACTTACTCTTCCAACCACTGATGAATATTCCTAGGGGGGAAGAAAGAAAGAAATAGCTATCCTCTCCCTGTCCACTACTTTGGAAGAGGGCCTATGTGCATGTTTTAGCCCCACCACCCTGATCACGTTTAATTTTTAGAAGTTTTACTGGAGCTTCTTTTTTTTTTTTTTTAACATCACAGACATTCCTAGTAACCTTATGTAACCCTGTCTTGTCTCAAAGAAAAACAGTTAAGCAACACCAACCGACGTAGCAACTGCATCTGACAGCGTATGCAACATTCTGTACCCTTCGCCCCCCCCCACCTTTCTACCCAAAAGAGGGAGGTGTATTTCATCTGTCCTCTACAACTAATATCAGTCATTGCCTTTAATCTGAGTTCAACTGACTTTTCGTGTTGTTCTCATTTAAATGATTTTAGGCAGTATGTTCATTCTGGTTCTGCATTCTCCTCTCCGCATCAGTTCCTACAAGTTTTCCTCCATTTCTCTGAACTCTTCATGTTTGTCATGCCCCCTGTACCATCTCTTTTAGGAGGAAGCCAAACCTAGCCTTTGAATATGAGTTGGGGTCCCTTGTTTGTGGCAGAAATGCAAAAATTGCCTGTGATTTTCAAGTCGCTGTAAGATTCTCCCTACTTTTTACACTTTCTGGAAGTGAAATTCTCAGTCCTTCTTCCTGCTGATAGCTTTCATAGAGATATTGTAGTCGCCTATCACTTATTACATCGAGGCCGCTGTACTAGGCTTGTGACACGTTTCCTCATTTGCTTCTGGCCCAGGTGGTCTGTAGCACCTTCCCTTAATAATGTTACTTCTGTTTTCCCCTTCCACTGATATTTTCCACTATATGCATTTCTCACATAAGTATATCTTCTCCTGAGTATATGATGATGCTCCCACCAAGCCTTTTCTTTATTGTGTGGTCTTTCTAGATAAAGAATACCCTTCCACAAATGGCTGAAAAATAACTTTTTAAACACTTGTTGTCTGTGGAGCTCTGAGGATGCAAATAAGAAAGCAAGTGGTAATCCCTGCTTACCTTCTAGTAGGAGGAGATGACACATGTGGGATACTGGTGGCCAGGGAGAGGTATTTTAGTCTGGAAAATTAAAAGGAAAGTTATTCTACTTTATTCCATTTCACTCTACTTCATGCTCTCCTCCCCTCCACCATCCCTCTCCTTTCCTCTCCTCACCTCTGCCCAGCTCTAAATATTATGACTGCCTTCTAGCTAATGTTGGGGGCCGGAGGAGCCCAGGCCCAAGCTGGGATTGAGGTCTGGGCCATATCAAACTTGATTGAGGGCAAGAATTCCAGGAGATGGTGAGCGAGGCCCCACACCTCATAGCTAGCATGTCTAGGGTACTTTAAGATACTTTAAGCAGACATTATGCTTTCCCTATGTTATCTCTTTTGAGCCTTACAACCACCCTGTAAGTTAAGTGCTATTCAGATATTGTGATCCTGAGGCTCAGTAAGGTCACACAATTAGTAGGTGCCAGAGATGTGATTCAAACCCAGGTCTCTCTGACTCCAAGTTCAGCAACCCAGTCCCTATGCCGTGCTATGCCTCAATCTGCTGACTCCATTCACAGAGACCATCGGTTTCTTCACTTCTCAGCTGACCGGAGAAGTCATCCTGAGGGAGAACAAGAATGGTGAAGGGAATCAGGCTCCATTAACTATCCATGAGCTGGTGCTTGGAACTGCCACGAGGTATCCTGACTTGATTGCTCTGGGGACGAGAAACGTGGATGGATGGGAAACCATAACCTACATCGAGTATTATGAGTTGTGTCGGAAGGCAGCAAAATCCTTCCTCAAGGTAATGTGGTACCATGGTTTTTGTCGACATGAATGTGGCTCATTAGCCTTTGATTAGCACCCAAGCCGCAGCAAGGATCACAGACTTCTCGAAATGTGCTGCTAAAAGGGACTTTATAACATCAGGTCTGGGAGGGAACTCAGAACATAGAATGTCAGTGCCAGGAAGGATCTTGAAATAAATAAATGAAATTGGAGTCAGAGGACATGGGCTTTGATGGTTACTACTTACGGGATCCTTAGACAAGCCATCTCCTCTCTCCAGGACTGATTTTTATCATCTGTAAAGGGAAGGCTACCTAAGGGTTCTTCCTGCCTTCAATTCTATAATTCTATGAACATAGGCCCTAGAATGTCTGGGCTAGAACGGTCTTTGGAGGTCATCTAGTAATCTAAACCCCCTTCTTTTTACAGATGAGGAAATGAAGGCCCTGAGTGGGGGGAGGGGGACACAAATTACCTAAAGTCATACAGATAGTCCCCAGGTCTCCTGGCCCCCAGGCCAGAACTCTTTCTACTGTATCTCACCTTGTCCATGTAGATGGTAAAGCCCACTGAGTGGGTTGTGGTGGTGGGGCATCCTGAACCCACAGTTTCTGTAGACCCTACAAATATGGCTAGGTTCCAGAGCAAGAATGGCCCTGGAAGGGCCTCAGAGTTTCATCTTACTCTAAGTCCATGATCTTGGGCTAGGACTCATGAAAGATTAGGAAGCCCCTTAGGACTCTCTAAATGTCGTATCTTTTTCTGAAGTTATCCTTATTTTACTTGACCTAAATTTGGATTAATGAACCCTCTGATGAATGAATCAGTGAATCCTCTGATGTCACATTGGGGCATGGTACGGATCCAGAACTTTAGAAGTCTATGACAGTGGGGTACAAGTTCTGGCCTTACTTAACTTGAAAGGCTTCACAAAGGGGACCAGGTTGTGTCTCTAGACTTAAGACATCTTGAGACTGATGGGACACCCTTTCCTTCCCTCCCCTCCTCTCCCTTTCCTTTCCTTCTTATTAAATTCAAACAAACACTTATTATGTGCCTAAAGGGGCCATGTGAGACATTAGGCCAAGTGTAAGGTTACAAACACACAAAAATTCATCTCCCTTGCTCTCAACTTGCTGACAGCCTCCTAGAGGGCATAGGAAGAATCCACCATTTACACTGAGAAGCATGACATGAGGCATAGTGTGATGGGGCAAAGGAATGATCCACAGAGTGCTTTGGGAAATACCAGGCCGTAGGGTGGAGGGAGAACCCTTTCAGCTGGAGGGGGATCAGGAAAGACTTCAAGGAGAGGGTGGTGTTCGATCTGAGCCTGTGAGGAAGAGGAGAATTCTGACTGGTGGAAACAAGGAGGGAGGCAGTTCCTGGCCTGGTGAATGGACTGCCTGAATTCGGGGAAGTAGGAGATTGCCTCTCAGGTTTGGGGAGTAGGGAAGAGTCCAGTTTGCCTGGAGTAGATTCATGGGAAATGTGGCTAAAAAGGTAAATTAGAACCAGACGATGGGAATTACCAACTGACTGCATGACACAGGGAGGAATGCTAGATTTGGGGAGTCAGAGGAGCTGAGTTCAAATTCTACCTCTAACACTTGTATAGCTCTGGACATGTTGCTTATCTTCTCTAGGTGTCAGTGTCCTCATCTCTATCTGTGGAGAAGGGGTCCTCTCTAATGCATACCCAGAAGCTAACTCACCAGGGACTGGAAACAGGCAGGTCGGCACAGTGCTCACACTAAAGAATGAACCTTCAGACCCTTACTAGCTGTGTGATCCTGGGCAAGTCACTTAAACCCGATTGCCAAAAAATTAAAAAAATAGATGGACCTTTATCCACTGCTAGTCTGAGAGGGAGCTGAAAGAGTGAGCCCAGAGCTTTTACTAGATATGAATTGAGGAGCTAAGTGGCATAGTGGAGCACTGGGCTTGGATTCAGGAAGAACTGAGTTTGAATCTAGACTTAGACACTTAGTAGCTGCATGACCCTGGGCAAATCACTTAACCACTGTCTGCCTCCGTTTCCTCACTTGTAAAGTGAAGAGAACGACAGCATCTACCCCTCTGGATTGGTGAGAGGGTCAAATGAGATAATATTTGTAGAGTGCTTTTCAAACCTTAAAGCACTTTTGCTTATTCTAACTCTAAATCTATGGCTCCTACTGTATGGATGAGATTGAAACCCTCCACCCTATTTTATACCTTAACTGGGTAGAACTGCATCTCAGTTACCACATCAATCGTTTGACTAAGCAGGAAAAGTTTTTGTAAACTTTTTAATAAAATGAAATAATGCCAGATAAGAAATCTATTCTAGTTGGCTGGGTTAGTACTGGTGGTGGTGAGGATGAGTGAGAAAATGCGTTAATTATACCCTCTGGGTCTTATATAAAAGCATCAAGTTAGAATGGAATGGAGAAATTTCAGAAACTAGAGTGTGTATGGAGTTCTAGCCTTGCCCCTTTGAGGAGGAGCCTCCTAGAGGAAAAGAAGAGGTCTTGGCTTTAGCCTTAATCAGGTCTTCTCTCATCTCCTCTGCCCCTCCCCTTTCCTATGACCAGAGGAGGATTTTCTACCTTCAAAGGATCAGATGATGTTGGACTTTCAATTTTCTCATCATTGTCTTAAATGGTGCCCGCGGGTCAGCTGGAGGCAGTGTCCAGCAATGGCTGCACCATTGAGCCAAGGATAGACTGGACTCAAGGTTCTCCAAGGAATCTAACAAAAAGACTACATCATGCCTTGGGGCGAATTTCCCTATAAAGAGGAGAAAAGGACTTCCAGGATCCAGAAGCTGTGAGTTAGCCCTTTGCTAGATGTGCTCTCTGAGCTTGAGGCTACTTCCCCCTGGACCCTCTATGTGCCAGTAGGAGAGTGTGTCACAGAATTTTAGGGAGGATGCTTTGTACTAGTTTTTTTTTTTTATTGTACCGCCTTACCCCTTTCTAAAAGCTACTTGAGGCTAGCTGATGGAATGGTAATCTTGGGGGGAAGTACATTGACAGGGGATCAAGCCAATGGCATCTGAGAATTACCACTGACCCCTCAGAGTTACCCCTAGAAATATTTTAGGTAGATGTAGCCAAGCTCTAAGGACTTGACTGGGGAGTGGGCATGATAGTTGAGATAAGGATCTTTAGAATTTATCTGGGTAATGCTATAATCCTCGATCTGGATATCTTACAGATATATTAAACTCAATTGTCCAACCAAACTCAAATTTTTTTCCAAAACCTATCCTTCCCCTACATTCTTCTCTTCTTATTGAGGACAATACCCTCCTTCCTGTCATTCAGGTTCTCAAGACGCCACTGGTTAGTGGTTTTTAATAATTTCAGTAAAGTGATAGAATCAGCAGTCAGATTGTATGGGTTGAGGAATAAGTGGAGAGGCAATGGAGGCAGCCAGTACAGATTACTTTTTTAAAAAAATCTTTTAATTCTTTTTTAAATAATTAGTTTTTAGTTTTCAACATTTGCTTCCATAAGATTTTGAGTTTTAAATATTCTCCCCCTTCTCGTCCCCATTCCCTAAGACAGTGTGCAATCTGGTACAGGCTCTACTTATATATTGTTATTAAGCATATTTTCACATTAGTCATGATGTAAAGAATTAGAACTAATGGGGAGGAACCATGAGAATGAAGGAATAAAACAAAACAACAAAGGAAAAGGAGAGCAAATAATATTCTTCCGTACTCTAAAGTTTTTTCTCTGGATATGGATAGTATTTTCCATCATGAGTCATTTGGAGTTGTCTTAGATCCTTGCATTGCTGAGAAGAGCCAAGTCTATTGATGTCAGTCATCACACAATGTGGCTCTTACTGTGTACAGTGTTCTCCTGGTTCTGCTCATTTCATTCAGCATCAGTCCATACAAGTCTTTCCAGGTTTTTCTGAAGTCCACCTGCTCATCATTTCTTATAGCACAATAGTATTCCATTACATTCATATACCACAGCTTGTTCAGCCATTCCCCAGTTGATGGGCATCCCCTCAATTTCCAATTCTTGGCCACCACTAAAAGAAGTACTATAAATATTTTTGTACCTGTGGGTCCTTTCCCCATTTTTATGACCTCTTTTGTATACTGCCCTAGAAGTGGTATTGCTGGGTCAAAGGATGTGCACAATTTTATCGCCCTTTGGGTATAGTTCCAAATTGTTCTTCAGAATGGTTGGATCAGTTCACAACTTCACCAACAATGCATTAGTGTTCCAATATTCTGACATCTTCTCCAACATTTATCATTGTCCTGTTTGGTCGTGTTAGCCAATCTGATAGGTGTGATGTGGTACCTCAGAGTTGTTTTGATTTGCATTTCTCTAATCCCATAGTGATTTAGAACATTTTTTCATATGACTATAGATAGCTTTAATTTCTTCCTCTGAAAACTGCCTATTCATATCCTTTGACCATTTATCAATTGGGTAAGGACTTGTATTCTTATAAATTCAACTCAGTTCTCCATATATTTTAGAAATGAGGCCTTCATCAGAGATACTGGTTGTAAAAATTGTTTCCCAACTTTCTGCTTCCCTTCTAATCTTGGTTGCATTGGCTTTGTTTGTGCAAAAACTTTTCAATTTAATCTAATCAAAACCATCCATTTTAGTGCAGATTACTTTTTAAAAAATACAGATAGCAGTTAGAGGCTGGAGAAGGAGATGTAGAACAATAGCTTGAGACAATGTGCTGGGTGAAAATGAAAATGAAAAGGGGTTTGTTGTTTTTTAGAATGGGGAAACCTGAGAAATGGTATGTTATAGTGTAGTGGTCTTCAAAGGCAGGGTATATATATCCTGTCGAACTAAACTAACTCTCTCAAAATGGTCACATTGACTTAAAAGGAACACTGCAAAGAAACCCAGATTTGGCAGTATTACTGATATAACAATACTGAGCAAAGAAAAAGAGGATGGCACAGCTGAAAAGCTTCCTGCTCCCTTTTCTATCTCTTTGGCAGCCACATTAGAAGTAAAAACAATGATGATCTAGCCT